GCGTTGATGGAAGTTGATCAGCCTGTCTAGCACTGACAGAGGAAGTGGGGTGAATATGCAGGGACTGAGCAGGGACCTCTGGATGGAAAGACACAGACAGCTCCTGCCTGGGCTAAAGGCCGTAGTATATTGAAGGCCGTAGTGGACTTATGTCTTTTACACGGACCGGCCACTAGAGGGAGATAAAGGCCCCCACTGAGTCAATGCAGGTTAGAAAGGGGAAGTGTAAGAAAGACCCCAGAGAGGCAGCTGTACCTGTAGAGCAGATTTTGCTGCTCTCTCCACCCTTTGGAGGGATGGGCACATAAGTTGTTACTTTTTGTGTCAATGGGGTTTCCTGGGAACCCAGGTGTGGATCTGGCTTCATCTTCTCAGCAGGATACGACCCGTTCCACATCTTTTCTGTCTCTGAACGACTCATGGAGTCCAAAACGGGCGACTTGTTCACCTGAACCACCGTTCTGCAGCCACCGGTAACTGAGGCCTGTTCACAGTGGGTCTGGCGGTGCCGGCAGAGCCCTTCGTAAGGACAGTTTCAAAGCAGCTCACTCGATTACAGCTCAGGCGCGGTTTGGCTACGTGAGGTGATCAAGAAAAACTCCTTTCCAATATAATTGGATGGTGAGTTTTGCCCGAATACCCCGACCAACCAGACTGGGTCTGAGCTGTGTTCGAATGAACTGTTTCAAAGCTTCCCTTGACACGGCTTTTATCCCCAGGGTCAACCAGGCCTTAGCAGGCGCTGACCAAATCAACTCCCGGTCGCTCAATCATCCTTGTTCTGTTTCTTTTCACTGGCGTCCCGTCCCGTGGGGTCTGGGTTCGAGGTTTGCCTGTGGAGAGAATTGTCGGGTTACTCGGGCTGGCTTGTGTCGGTGTTTATCTGCCCAGACACAGCCCTGCACAGCAGGGTCGGTTCGAGCTGACAGTGCTAGGACAGCCCTGGTTTCTCTACAGGGATTTGCATCTGAAGGATCCCAAAGCACTTGACAAACACACAGAGGCATGTGCTGGACTGGGGTCAGTTCCATGTAGAGAGAGTGGGGCCAGATCCCGGGCTGGTGTGAACTGGGGCAGCTCCACTGAAATCACTGACCCCAGACCCCCAGCTGGTGAAATTAGCCATCACTCCACTGCAGTCAATGGGGCCAGACCCCCGGCTCTGTTTGGTTATGTCTGTTTATACAGTTGTTACAACCACACCTGAATAGGCAGGAATGATCTCTTCCCCTTATGCAAATAGTTTGCAAGAAGTCGTTATGGTTTAATTGGAGAGCCTGGAATTTTGG